AATAAAACTTTGTACTATTTTGATCAAATTTTACACATGTAAACTATAGGTCAAAAGACAAAATACGGATAAATTGGAATTTTTAATTTCGCTTGTGGAAAAAATATTATTGTCGTTGAAGTTATACGTACAGTTTATACCTTCCGTTCGGTGCACAATTGATTTTTATACGTAATATTCTGGAAATTGTATTATATTACATTTTTTACACTAACTTATTTAAAAAAAGAATTTGAAGGTCCAAAGGTGCCTGTATAAAAATATGCCGTTTGAGTCAGATATCGCATTTGATCCGCATTATGGGCGCGTACTGGTGGCAGTATTCGACGCACGGAGGATCTTAACGCGTAAATTGTACTTGTGCGAAGTATAATATCTTCATAATGATGTAGAATACATGCAATTAAAGGAATTTTTAATTTTTAAAGGCACGTATTCTACATCATTATGAAGATATTATACTTCGCACAAGTACAATTTACGCGTTAAGATCCTCCGTGCGTCGAATACTGCCACCAGTACGCGTAATTCCTTTAATTGCACGTATTCTACATCATTATGAAGATATTATACTTCGCACAAGTACAATTTACGCGTTAAGATCCTCCGTGCGTCGAATACTGCCACCAGTACGCGCCCATAATGCGGATCAAATGCGATATCTGACTCAAACGGCATATTTTTATACAGGCACCTTTGGACCTTCAAATTCTTTTTTTAAATAAGTTAGTGTAAAAAATGTAATATAATACAATTTCCAGAATATTACGTATAAAAATCAATTGTGCACCGAACGGAAGGTATAAAATGTACGTATAACTTCAACGACAATAATATTTTTTCCACAAGCGAAATTAAAAATTCCAATTTATCCGTATTTTGTCTTTTGACCTATAGTTTACATGTGTAAAATTTGATCAAAATAGTACAAAGTTTTATTAAAAAAATTTGCAAAATAATGTTAATTTTTAACATATTTTTTAAACAAATAAATTTTTCAAAAATCCACTTAGGCCATATTATTGGCCTTCTAAAACAGAAAAATTTGCACATTTAATTTTTTGTCTAGGCCTAATAGTTCCTGAGATATTCGAGAAAATATGTTTTGCAACCCCAACTTTGGGGGCCATTTTCACCCCTTCAACATGAACGATGGCCGATAAAAAAAAATACGTGTCAAATATTTTTTTGCGTTCTATATCATACTCAAAGCGCATCAAAATCAGCGATTGGCGATTGGGTAATGTCCCTTGTCAGATAAAAATATATATCTTTTTCAAAAACGAACTTCCCCCACTTTTATAACAAATAAATACAAAAGTAGTGAAGATATAAAAAAGAAAGTTAGTCTTTAATTTTAAAATTTGATGTAAAAGTACTGTTTAGGAAAAGGCATCCGTAGATTGTCGTAAAAATTCATAAAATTCATAAAATTTCGCTAGAAAATTTAAGGAACAAGAATACAAAATTTATGTACGTTCAGTACTTGATAATAATCTGTAAAAACAGTGATTCGTAAAAACAATACAAGAGGCTAATGAAAACTTGTGACCTAATTTCACGATTGCTCAAACTCTGTTACAGCAATGCCGATGGAACCAGTTGGTTTTCCTCAAATGGGTGTCGGACTTCAAGGTGGTCTGCAATTGGTTAGAGATCCAACAACGGGTCATCTTCTTCTCATCCATGCAGCAGGTAGAATTTCCTTATTAAAAATTATTTTGTTACAAGAGTTTGCCTATTTTTCATGTAACAGTATATCAATGGCTGTCTGAACAGGAAATCGATATTCAGATAAAAATTCCACGTTAAAAAATGAGGTAGTCAACTTAATTAGTTCCGAACAACAAGAGACAAAAGCTTATATTACATTTAAATTGATACTTCATGGCTGTACATACTGATATTTCTATTATTTTCACGTTTCTATTGAATTTTTTAATATTTAAACGTTGGAGCTGGAAATGAAGTTAACAAAGAACTGTGTGAAATGAATTTTTCTGGAAAAGTAAATATAAAAATATTCAATACTGCCCCGAAATTGTAGCCACTACTAAAATTTTTAATTTATGTATCAATTTCAAAGCGAAAAGCGTAAATAACGGTGAACAGAAAATATTTTTTTATTCGTTAATTTTTACAACTGCCAAAACGTGTTACAAATAATATGAATAAATATTTATGACATTTGATATAACGTTCATGTTCACAAAATCACAGTTTCCAAACATGTGCAAAATAAGATTTACAATTGTTGCTTTCAATGGAGAGCTAAATAAATTTAGTACAGAAATGTATATATTATTATTTTCTTTTTACTATCATTATTAAAAATTTACAAATATTTTTTCACTCAAAATTAATTAAATTTGTGCAACGCAGAACTAAAAAAGTTCACTTATTTCTAACAATAATAAAAATAATATAAAAATAACGTTCGTAGTATTTTTTACTGAAGCAATATAAAATTAACATTTTTATTTTTTTATTGAAAAAGTATAAAAGTTTGTATTATTTCTTCCTGAAATTTCAAGCTTTCATAATAAATGTAATTCCCAATTTACGCGTCAAGAATAAAAAATTTTCCATTAAATTTATTCGCGTCAACCGAATTAAAGTTTTGTATCGTGTGCAAGTCGAACCGAACGCAATTAACTGGTTAATTAAATTCGTACTGTCGGTCACCGGTATTAAAAAACGAAATGTTACGATTCTTTGTCGACAGAACAAATGCAGCAGGCTGTAGTGTGGCCAAATTATTCGAATCATAACAATGGAAATGTTGCTCCGCCACCCCTTTTGCTTCCACCACCCCCGCCATCTCTTCAATTGTTGAGCGACATTGGTGGTGCAAGGTTGGTTCTCACCGAAAGTAAAAGAAAACAACAGAGCACTCTACCTATCGTGAAGATAGAGGCAGACTGTGGTAACAGTCCTACCACGATAATCAGTGAGTAATGTCTAATTGGCTTCTGTAATTAAAATACTAACGCATTGCAGCTCACATTTAGGACACCCTTGGAAGAAGATCCAAGTTTAACCTCTTAGGCACGGCTAAACTTTGACTCTGCTTTTTTGTACGGTAGAATTCGTCGCAAATTACGCGTAAACACTACAATGTATGACGATGCTGTTCTCTACGCGAGTACATTGGAATGAAGTTTTTGATAATTAAATTATAATTTTTCCCGAAGATATGATATGCTTTAACTTTGATAATTTACTTTTTTCGAAAATTCACAAAATATGTAATTTCCAAATGTTTCTAATATCGTGTATTAGTGCAAAGAGGTGCTCCTATGGTGCCTAAATTACTTGGTACCTTTTATTTACATATAATGTACTTTTGTGGGATTTGTTAATACTCGTATAAAACGTGGTGAAGGCAAAAAAGTGCGAATCAAAACATATAAAAAGGATCGTTCAATTGAAACGGAGAGCGAGGGAGCCAGTAGAGTGAGCCACCATAGTGGCGCTATGCAATCTACGATATTAGCGAAAGTGATTATAATGGCGTGTCGTGCCTAAGAGGTTTTAGTTTAAGTCTTCAACAATTAAATACTGAGTTTGTTAGAATTCATTCAATTTTAAATTTGTTTTAATTTGCGCTGAATTTGGTTGATGGCAGTTTAATCGTTTACATTTTTTAATTACTTTGATTTCAAACCTGTTATGGTCTTTTGGGTTTTTATTTACACGTAGCGATTTTATATGAATGAAATTATTATTAATTTTCTCATTTTTGTTTTTGCAATATTATGTTAACAATTTGTTAAATTTATTATATTTATCCTTTATTAAATTTATTATATCTATCGTTTTTATGAAATTGTAGGAATTCGCAAAATTTACGAAATATTTATTGAATTTATGAAATTTATGTATTTTATAGAATTCATTGAATTTATTAAACTTAATGAAATTGTTAACTTTATTGAATTTATTCAATCTTTTTTTCGTTTTTTGGATTTTTTATATTTCGTCAATTTATCGAATTTTTTTAATTTATTGACTTTGTTGAATTTATGGAATTTATTGATTTTATTGAATTAATAAAATAGTTTTATTGGTTTTTATGATGAATTTATATAAAAAGTTATAAGTAAAATACTAGAAAACTGTAACAAGAATAATTTCATCAATATTACTGATTGCACATTGATTTATTTAAAAATAATTAATTATTTAATTATCAGGCGGTACCAAATGGTACCGAAAAAATGAGTTATTCATTAAAATCACTAACACTATTTTCATCGATAATAATTCACTCAATTATCTTTGTAATAAAGGAGACTGGATGCTTTCGTTATATTGCCATAAACGGGGTTGTACGAGCAGAAAATTGAACATCGTTAATAATGTTCTGTGTAGAAGCTTTTTGGAAAAGGTATTCATACAGATTTCTAGAATGTAAGGTGGTTAAAAGTGAAATTGAATTGATTAGGGTCGTTGCATACCACACTGTGACCGTTAAGGGTTAATCTAAACGTTAGAGGAAAGTACCTTATTATCGTACACTACTATGTAACGCTCTGTATTAGATGACAAATTTTTCTATTACATAAAATTGTAAAGTAACGCATTCAAGATACGTTTATATTAGAAAAAAATTCTTCTACATAAAAATACAAAAATTTTTATATCAGAATATCGAATTTAATTTAATAAGTACATAGACAAATTTTCAATATCATTCATAAGTAGTGCTACTCAACTGTTTTTAAGTCGCATAAAATTGTTATAGTAAACAAAAACATTAGTATTTACATCAATAATGAAGTATCACTGCTAACGAACTTTAATAGTATTAATTAGTTTTATTTGTTTAATCACACATATTAATTCTCAAAGTAATGAAAAGATGTTATACTTATCACATTATGTGCCGAGAACAATTTTTTTTTAATATTTTAAGTCTGTTCAGAATTAGTTTTTTCGAAAATGAAGTGACATATGGAAAAATTGTACTGTATATTTTTTCCGTATTTTTTCATGTAAATTCATCTCCTTTCCGGTTTGTACCACCATTTCGAAAACACCCAGTACAGTTAGACACTCTATACTTCTATACCCTATAATTTCCACAGTGAAATTATAGACTAAATACAAAGTCTCTAAAATTTCGTATCAACCAGTTATTATCACTTCAGTTGGTGAATTCTTATCGATGAAAACACCGTGAATGATTTCAATATAACCTCAAACGGAATATGTAAGGACTCCAGCAAGGATCTGCAGTTTAATAGGCTAAGGATTATGGATGAGATAGAAATTGCCTTAAAATGTTTCAAGTTACAGGCAGTAAACTCAGGAAGTTTCAAAACGCTTTGAACATCTATTAGGTATGGCTGAAAGTGTTGAAAATTTTGTAAAGCTTTGCAAATCCTTTAAAGTCTTGGCAAGTGTTGAAAGTCTTAAAAGTCTTGACAATTTTGAATGGTACATTTATTTAAACAGTGCCTATGACAAATGGAGATTAAATTAAGGATCGTATAAGATGCGCTATTAATTATAAAGAAAAAAGAAAAAATAGCATAAAGTACATTATTAATAACGAAGAAAAATTGATAGAAAATACATTATTAATAATAATAACTTGTGTTGCATCAAACTTTTCAAAAGTGTCAAGTTTTACGATTTTCAAGCTTTTCAAGACTAAAAGATTTTCAAAACTTTAAAAACTTTCAAGATTTTTCAGATTTTTATGAGTTTTAAGGCTTTCAAGAATTTTAAGACTCGGTAAAGTCTCAACACTTTCAAGACGTACAACTTTCAAGAATTTCAAGACTTTCAGAGCTTCTTTAAAATATCAAGGCTTACAGGACCTTTTTAGAACTTCAGGACTTTCACGACATTTTTAGAATTTCAAGCCTTAGAACTCCCAAGAATTGCAAGACTCAAGATTTTTTGGATTTCCAAGTGTTTTAGAGCCTTCAAAGTTATCAAGAATTGGAAGACTTAAGTTTTTAAAGACTTTTGGAATTCGACTTTGAGGAATTTAAGATTTTAAGACTTTTAAGATTTATAAATTTTATGACCTTCAAGACCTTTAAAACTTTCAGGACGTTTACTTCAGACTTTTAAGAACTTTAAAATTGATAAAAATTCGATGACCTTCAAGACTTTTAAAACTTACAGGACTTTTAAGAGTTTAAAGACTTTTAAGACTTTTAGAATTTATTTATAAAAATGATATGACCTTCAAGACTTAAAACTTACAAGACTTTCGAAACTTTAAGGAGTTTTAACTGTTTTGGACTTTTTAGACTTTCAAAAATTATAAAGATTCGATGACCTACAAGACTTGTAATACTTAAAGGACTTTCAAGGCTTAAGACTTTTAACACTAGATTTACGGAACCCGTCAAAATGGCGGATAATAGGTCTATTTTAGATGACAGAATTTGTTAAGAAATTTTTGTAAAAATGTCAACTTTCATCAACTTTCAGCAAAAGAGTCAATGTTGTAGACAGTTCACATATCATCTACAATTTATTTATTTTTCTACTTTAGGTAAATTTAAATAAAAGTGACCATCAAACGTCCGTAAATCTAGTGTTAAGACTTTTACGACTTTTAAGAATTATGAATCTTTAAGATTTTTAAGATTTTTAAGACTTTCAAGAATTTAAGCCATTTAAGACTTTCAAGATTATTATTAAACTTAAGATTTTTAAGAATTTCAATGTTCTTAAAACATTATAGACTTTTAAAAATTTTTGAACTTTTAAGACTTTCAAGATTTCTCAGACATTTCAGAGTTTTTGGACTATCAAGACATTGGTCACTGTTATTATCTTTAAGACTATTAAGACTCAGGATTTTGCGAACATTTCAAACTTTTGGACTATCAAGACATTCATCATTGTTATTATTTTCAAGACATTTAAAGCTTTTAAGACTTTGAAGATTTTGCGGACATTTCAGACATATCGGGCCATCAAGACATTCATCATTGCCATCTGCAAGACTTTTACGATTTTTAAGACTTTCAAGATTTTGCAGACATTTCAGACTTTTTAGGGTATCTAGACATTCGTCATTTTTATCACCTTCAAGACTTTTAAGACCCTTAGGACTATCAAGATTTTGCAGACATTATAGACTTTTTGGACTATCAAGACATTCATCACTGTTATTATTTACAAGACATTTAAAACTTTAAAGACCTTCAAGATTTTGCGGACATTTCAGACATATTGAACTATCAAGACATTCATCACTGTTATTATTTTCAAGACATTTAAAACTTTTAAGACCTTCAAGATTTTGCGGACATTTCAGACATATTGGACTATGAAGATATTCGTCACTGTTATCATCTTTAAGATTATTAAGACATTCAAGATTTTGCAAATATATCAGACTTTTAGGAATATCAAGACATTTGTCATTGTTATAATCTTCAAGACACTTAAAACTTTTAAAACGTTCAAGATTTTGCAGACATATCAAACTTTTTGGACTATCAAGACATTCATCACTGTTATTATTTTCAAGACATTTAAAACTTTAAAGACCTTCAAGATTTTGCGGACATTTCAGACATATTGAACTATGAAGACATTCATCACTGTTATTATTTACAAGACATTTAAAACTTTAAAGACCTTCAAGATTTTGCGGACATTTCAGACATATTGAACTATGAAGACATTCATCACTGTTATTATTTACAAGACATTTAAAACTTTTAAGACCTTCAAGATTTTGCGGACATTTCAGACATCTTGGACTATGAAGACATTCGTCACTGTTATCATCTTTAAGATTATTAAGACTTTCAAGATTTTGCAAATATATCAGACTTTTAGGAATATCAAGACATTTGTCATTGTTATAATCTTCAAGACACTTAAAACTTTTAAAACGTTCAAGATTTTGCAGACATATCAAACTTTTTGGACTATCAAGACATTCATCACTGTTATTATTTTCAAGACATTTAAAACTTTTAAGACCTTCAAGATTTTGTGGACATTTCAGACATATTGGAGTATGAAGACATTCGTCACTGTTATCATCTTTAAGATTATTAAGACATTCAAGATATTGCAAATATATCAGACTTTTAGGAATATCAAGACATTTGTCATTGTTATAACCTTCAAGACACTTAAAACTTTTAAAACGTTCAAGATTTTGCAGACATATCAAACTTTTTAGGGTATCAAGACATTTTTATCACCTTCAAGACTTTTAAGACACTTAGGACTACCAAAATTTTGTAGACATTTCAGATTTTTGGACTATCAGGACATTCGCCACTTTTATCATCTTTAAGACATTTAAGACTTTCAAGATTCTGCAAATATTTAAGACTGTTTGAACTATAAAAACATTCATCACTGTCATCTTCAAGACCTTAACTTTAAGACTTTCAAGATTTTGCAGACATATCAGACTTTTTAGGCTATCAAGACATTCATCCTTGCAATTACTTTCAAGACTTTTAAGACTCTTATGACTAGGAAGATATTGCAGACATTTCAGATTTTTTGGACTATCAGCACCTTCGCCACTTTTATCATCTTTAAGACTCTTAAGATTTCCAAGATTTTGCAGACATTTCAGACATATCGGACTGTCAAGATATTTGTCAAGACATTTGTCACTATCATCCTCAGGACCTTTAAGGCTCTTGACACTTCCAAGATTTTCAGGAAATTTACAATTCACAAGACTCTTAATCTTGCAAGAGTATCAAGACTTTTGGATACCGAAAGGACCACTTTAAAACTTTTTAAGACCATATCAACCCAAAAATAGAGTCAAAGCAATTGAAAAACCTGCCATGCCTGACTTGAAAATTTGCGAATAAGCATCTTGACGTCCCACTATTATGGCGATTAACGATTAAACCGAAATCTGCGTACAGCAAGTTAGACTCGACGAGAATGATTCTTTCGATGATACTGAAATACTAAATCCTGCAGCGTCTACGGAGTCAACGAAGGCGTTGCAGACTGTGACTTCGATGACCGGCACCCTAGTTCCAGATGCGCCCCTAGTGACAACGCTGCACTATTATCCCCACACGCCCGCACTGGTCCAAATCAGCCAGGCTGAACCGACGCACTGCAGATCACAGGTAAGTTGATTTTTCGAGCTTTTCGTTTCGCTGCTGTTTGTCAAACTGTCCCTGGAAGGGGACGGTAAACTCTGGCTAATTATTCGGAGCCCTGGGCGCGGTCTAACCATTCGCATAATCGCATATTGTGTATTAATCATGCGCGAACCTATTTGCACCGCTATCTGCATAGATATTACTAACTACGGCTGGTCAAATTAGTGTGCTCAAGTTTCATGTTTTATAATGTTGGGCGATGCAATGGAGCTGATATTTTTATTGTGGTTACGAGTATTTTTATTGCGGTATGAGTATATTGTTTTGAATACGTGACGTATGGTAGGAATAATTGTATAAATGTGGTATAAAAATATTATATGAGAGTGCAATATATTATATTACAAAAATATTATAGACTAGTCAAAAGAATTAAGGGAACAGTAAAATTCCTTAAATTTTTAGGTCATATTCAAATTGCTCTGCCTCTTTTCGACCCTTTATCTTAAAAATTTTTTGGGGCTTTTATCACTAATGAAACATACAAAAAATCGCGATGGAAAAATTTAAAAATTTTTTTCTTTCTTTTAAGGTTTGTATAGACATAGGAAAATTTTTTTGATTAATGCCACTTCTAGTCTGCTGTTCCCTGTTCCTTCCCCTATAATTTGCACATCTATGAAGCTCGTTTCGATGATCGGTCGCAAAGTTATGAGCTACCAAAGCCGAAATAACGCTTTTTCCTTTGATAGTCATTATCTCATGAACCCACCCATCGAACAAAAATTGTAAGGACGGTTCCAGAAAGCGAAGAATGTACCCTTTATGATGGGTATATCAGTTTTTGATTAAATGTCTTTCTTTGATGCGTAATATTGATGTAAAGAAACGTGAAAAGATGGTGTTTTTGCCTCAAATTACAAAAGTTACGGTATCTTTGTTAATAGGTATCGCAATCATTATGCCTAGGTTTTTTTTTAAAGCTCATAGTGTCCAGAAAAAGTATGCGAAGTTTCAAATGGCTCCGATTCTTTGTTCCCTATGGTCCGATGGTTCAAACTTTGAAATTTGTACGAAAAGAGTTAAGGAAACATCATTACTGTTCCGATCCGTGACTAATCCATTTCTTGGGTAAAAAAGTTTGTGTCTCTACATTTGCCAGTACTATTGATGAATTAAATATGAAATATTGTAACCAATATATTTGTACATTTGGGAATTTGGGAATTTGAGAAATTGAGAAATTGAGAAATTGAGAAATTGAGAATTTGAGAATTTGAGAATTTGAGAATTTGAAAATTTGAGAGATTAGGGACTTGAGAATTGGAGAACTTGGGAATTCAGAAATTTAGAAATTTGAGGATTTGGGAATTTGAGAGTTTGAAGTTTTGAGCATTGGAGAATTTCGAAATTTGGGAAGGTGAGAATTTGAGAATTTGGGAATTTGAGAATTTGAGAATTCGAAAATTTAAGAATTTGAGAATTTGAGAATTGAAAAATTTGGGAATTTCGAAATTTGGAAATTGGAGAATTTGAAAATTTGAGAGATTAGGGACTTGAGAATTGGAGAATTTGGGAATTCAGAAATTTGGAAATTTGAGAATTTGGGAATTTAGGAATTTGAGAGTTTGAAGTTTTGCTCATTGGAGAATTTGGAAATTTGAGAATTTGAGAATTTGAGAATTTGAGAATTTAAGGATTTGAGATTTGGGGAATTTAAGAATTTGGATATTTCAGAATTTGAAATCTTGAGAATTTTGAAATTTGAGAATTTAAGTATTTTTAATAAAAATTTCTCAAATACAATAATTTGGCCACTCACCGTACAAGTCAATGTATTCAATCTGCAAAGATTAGTAACGTTACACAATTTTTATTCTTCCACGATTTATTCCTCAAGGTGTTTCCTTGTTTACGCCGCGCTTGAAACGTTACATTAATTCAAGAGCATTAAATTGTTAGCCGGATAAGAGCTTAAAGTCTTGTTCGTTTACAAGAAAGCACGTTAATTCTCTGTATATAGTTTTAGTGCTTTTTCCTTTTTCGTTAAAGTATACAGTCTTTTCATACTTCCAAAGAGCTTTACCACCGTGGACTACAATTGACTCCCTCCTTTCATTTCCTGCTTCTCTTTTGCTCCCTGTAATTTCTCTCTCGTTTTCACTATCGAATGTTTTTATTTTCTTTCGACTGCTTCAATGTTGCTTTCCCTTTATAGGCCAGTGATCATCGTGATTTTGTTTCCGTAAGCTTCTTTGCAGCGAGTTTTCAGTCAGCTGCAATTTTTGCTCGATTATCGATAACCGAACGCGACTCCTCTTTTTCCTTCATGTTTTTATTCGGTGAAAAAACTTGGGAATATTACTTTCTTGATTTAGGACAGTTGCTTGCTCAAAATTAGTTTGTTTATTGCTTTGATAAAATTTGGCAATTTATTTTTATTATTATATTCACTATTTTTAATTTTATTGTCCTTTTTTTATTATTTTTATAATTTTATTTTTACTATTATTATTTTTATTATTTTTGTTTCTACAATTATTATTTTTATTACTGTTACTTTTAGTATTATTCTTTTTGTTACAAGTAAATCAATTAATTTATTTAAAATTAATTTCCACTGATTTTCATTCATAGCATTTTTTCATTGAATTATAAATGTCATAGAGAAAGTATGTACAGAATTATTTACATCATATTTTGACTTAATTTTTTCATAAAATTGCATCCATGTCATTCAAACATAATTATAAATAATTTGATACCTACTTCCACGATGCAGATTATTACAATAATTTTATTGAGATTAATCTACTAAATTTCAATTTATAATTTACTAGGTATATTTACAACTACAATTACGACGATCACTGTCTTTCTTTTGGTATTATAATTTTGTTTAACACAGAATCCATTAGTACATGTGCTTAAAGCTTTGTACAACGAATAAACAGCAGCTATTGCTTGCATTAGGGCAGATTTTAATAAAGTTGGACAAAGTAACTGCACTCAATTAAAATAGTATTTTTATTATGACAGATATTGAAACAATACAGTAATAAAACTATCATATGGTGGGAAAATATTTAAATTTAAAATATATTTGAAGAAAAAGGATATGTGGACATATAAATCAAATAGATGTCTTTTACTTACAAAAACGTGTATCCAAATATTAATACATTGTTGAATTATCAATTCTGTGTTATATTTTGACGAGTCTGATCTCTGACGCACACAGTTCAAATATAATAAACCTCACTCAAACTTTAAACTCTTTCCAATCTTAAATTACAATTTGCATAGTTGAGGATCACTAAATGAATTAAAATAACATATCAATTTCCTATACTTTCAATACTAACATCATGCACCAGTAATAGCAAATACTGACAATAGTAATAGCAAATACTGACAATAGTAATAGTAAATACTGACAATTGTAACAGCAAATACTCAATGCTGACTGCATTCGACAAATCGTACGGCACGGATTAAAGCGATCACAGTAGACCTACAAATCGATCACTACAGCGATCAGTCACGTGTCACAGAGTAATCAGAACGGTTTTAGTCCAACTTTATCGAAATCTGCCGTCGCTTAACACGCCAAGACACTTGATCGTCGAATATCCTGCGCGTAGCAGCGAAATTCGTTTCTGTTGAAGGCTACATCCCCCGTGTCGTGTCTGACACCACCGCCGGAAATGCCGACGATCCACGCGATCGAGCCACCGGAAGTGGCGCCAATGGTGGGCGTGCAAGACGCCTCGAACCAAACGGACGCACCCGAGTCGGAGGACCAAGATGCTGGACCGGAACCATGCGTGAAACACGAGCAAAATCTGAACACCTGTCAGCTGCAGGGCTCCAATAACCTGACAACGACCACCACGAACCTGACGAATCTGACGAACTTCGAGATCGTCGCTGCCTCCCCGGAGAAGGTGTGTAACGTGGTGCGAATAACCACAACCACGACCACAGTGAACCCGGCGGTCTGCAGCATCGTGGGCAAGGTCGACAAGGCTGAGAACACGGTCATCAACATGGCCGATTGTCCAAAATATTCGATCACGAAGGAGTGCAGGAGCGTCACGTCCATCGATAGAACCATAGAGCACGTGGTCGCCAGGCAGATGGACAGAGAATACGAGGAGAAGATTCGCGTTGACGAGGAGGACGACGAATCGATCGTCGAGGACAGGCTGTCGCGTAGAGATTTGAAGAGCGGACCAAGGATCATCGAAATTACAGAGGAAAATTGCGACAGTTTTCATGAGAATTTGGAGTTCTTCGGACGGAGGAGGGACCACTCCAGGGATAGGTCCATGGATCGACAAAAGGAGAGGAAGAGGTACTACGCCGCGGAGTTTACTGACAGGGAGCAAAATGGCGAGATTGAGCCTAAGGAGAATTGCGAGGTAAGCGTACTTCTTTTTAACCTTTCGGATTACAGTAAGTGGATATATTAACTCTTTGAATATCAAGTGCTTTTCAACACTATTATATTGAACACATTTTCTAACACTGTAACTGGGGGTTTTGATACTTTGATACTACTTGACGAAAGTAATTTAACGATTAGATTTATTTTAGCAATAACTCTTGTACGCAACAAACTAGCGCAGTGCTTAAGATATATTTTAATAGAATATTATAAAATAGGTACAGTAGGTGACAGTACTGGCATTTATGCGCAGTAAATTTAAAATTGTTTTACGAGCGTCTGCTCCGACAGAAATATCTGGACTAGAATTACGCAATATTTTTTAATGAAATACTTTTGTAGTCTATTGAATCGATGTGCGATGCCCTCGTGAATTTTGGTAATTCTTTTTAATTAATTTGGCATGGGCATACAGAAATTGACGTTCGAACTGAATGACCATTAAAAAAGTAAAATTCTGACCAGATTACTGTTCACGCGCAATGCTATTATATACTTGTCAAATTTGACAAGACTTCTCTTAATTGTTATATACGAAAGTTGGAGGGTGAGAAATGTCGAACGTTTTCAACAACGTTCCTGATCGAGCGATCGGTAGAAGAGCAGTAAAATAATAAATAGTACAGTTTCGGCAACTAAACGGCTACTTCACGAATAGCTTGAACCAAATACCATAGCTGAATGGAACAGTTTCTGCGGGGAAGAAAGCTTTAATATATTTAATATATTGCGAACAAAGTTGTAAATCAATAACGCGATGTATGGTGTGTTGAAACTAGTTTGGGTCATATTTTGCCGATTACGCTGTTAACAAGTACTTTGCTAAAAATTCATTGATGTAACACATTGTACTGACATAATTCATGGTTTCCACTTTGGTTTTTACAATTCTCGGTGATTTGTGTAGGAATAAATGAAAATTGATTGATAGCAGTTCTTTCAACATTGGATTTACGGAACTCGTCAAAATGACAGATCATAAATTTCTTGCTTTAAATTACAGAAATTGTTAAGAAGCTTTTTGTTGAGAAAAGTACATTGACTTTTGTCGAGATAAAAAATCATTTAATGAGATAGTTTCTGTTTCATCAATTTATTTAGTTTGCTGCTTTATTTTCCAGTTAAATGAATAAGTAGTCCGTAAATCATGTGTTGAACAACTTGGAAGATTTGACTTCGTGTTTTGCGGAATATTTGTTTAGAAAGTATACAAGCGACTTGAATGAACACATCGTTTGATGAATAGTCTGTTAGATATCGTTATACAATATAAGTAAACTAAATAAATGCAAGTACATTGATGTAGCGGTGATACGTATTTTATTGATTTGAAGATCGTTGAAGTCCGAACGTCAATTTTTATTATTTTTCCTTTTTTGTGCACGTTGTAACAAATTATACGAAAAAGATCATCAGAATTCATGAGAGCGCCACATATTGGTCGATTAACCTTCGTAAATTGCAAAAATAATATACAAAGTTCAACATTTCGATTAACGTGCAAAGTACTTTCAAAATTTGTATGTTCAAACTTAGGTAATACTTGTATTAATTAAATGGAAGTGTGAATCATAAATAAATTTTACTGATTCTCGAAGAAGTTTATTAAAATCTGCATAAAAGCGGTCCATGTTCTTCTGAAAAATGTTCATATTAATTAATAGTGTAAATAAGATAAAAACAATAAAAATATGCAGTAAAAAATAATAAAAATAGAGATCTTTGTAGAAATTATATTTAATTACAGTTTCCAAAAAAGAAATACTCTGAGATGAAAACATTACACAAATATTAATGTTTTTATTTCTCGCATGAATGCAATAAAAGTTCAATTATTTGCATGCATATTTTTTCATATTATTGGTAGTAACTCCCAATGGAGTGTACAATGGAAAAATATAAAAATCGAATAACGAACGAAATGAACGAGGCAAAGTGGTCCAGTTGTTAAAACAAAAATATTAGTTAAATTAATATAAAACGAATTTGCTGGCTTTTATTTTAATGTTTAATATTTTTATGATATTAACGTCATTGGTTTCAGTGAAGATTTACAAAGCAACATGTATTTTGTTATTTTTTCCCTTTTTAGTTGAATTGTTTCCATTCAATGCAGTATTGTTTCGATTAATTTATAATTTATATTTACTGTTAATCTTTAGCGGTCAGACTGTATCAGGTTAGTACAGATTGATAAGAATAACAGGCCTGACACACTGGGACGTTTAGGACCCCGGCTATTAAAAATGTTTCTTAGAAAAAATTTACTCATTATTTTAACTTGAAAAAAAAAATTAGAAATAATCTTTGAAAATTTGTTTAACATATTTCACAATTGATTTCAATACATTTAAACGTTGAATATAAAAAAAAAATTCAGAAACGTGAAAAAATTGAAAAATGATTTTCACAGAAAAATTTAACCCTTTCGCTTCGGCTATCCAGTCCGCCGAAGTACTGTAACTGAACGGAAGTGAGTGCCGTGAATACGTGCAGTACGCGTTGTTGCTGTATATACGTTTTCCTGAGTCTTAAATGACTATTTTGCTGAATAAAGCAAAAATTTGCTACAATATAATGAGTATAATTTAGATCTTTGATATGAAAACATTTATAACGTACAATTATAACTTTTATAACTTATAAACATTTATAACATACAAAGCTACAGTATTTTACAATATTTACTATATTTACAATATTTTAATTATGAATTAATTATGATGCGCAAATAAGTTAATATATTAATGTGAAATGATTAATAGTATAAGCATGTATGATTAATTTTGTTAAACGACACTCGTACCCACAAATCATATTGTGCGCGCCGCTTATAAGCGGCGCTCGAAGCGAAAGAGTTAAAACTGTTTTCGATTTTAATATAAAGAGTTAACATTTTAACTGAATATTTTTCAGATATAATAGTTTGTAGCGAAAAATAGTAAAAATACTGGGGTTTCAAAAATATTATTTATTTGGATTTTCAGGATATAAAGTGGCTAAAATTGAAGCTAACTTGGCCGAGATCGTTTCATACCGCAGTGTGACTATTAAGGGTTAAATATGATCGTCATATAACAGTGATATGTCCACATAAATATTGTGGAAAATTGCTGTACTAGAATGTTGCTTGTTTTAACGATTTGTTTAATATACAACTTATTGAATAAATTTTATATCGAAAAATTGATATATCTACGTACAATTTCTAATAGAGACGATTATTTATTTAAATTGTTTAAAAAGGTAAAAGTATATAATAATTAAACTTGTGATGTTTATTGGTAAGAAATAAGAACGTATTTTACCGTAAAAGAAATAAAAACAATTCACTCTTGATGTATTACTGGCCGTTAGTAACGCATCACTCAATAAGTCTCCGGTCTAACTAAGAAAAACAAATTTTTTTTTAGAAATTCCACTTTAATCATCAATATACTTTCCTTCCAGGGTGATACATTGATTCCAACGCTCCTCTGACTTTTCAATTCCCTTTATATTAAACGATTTGTCTTTGCCCCCAAAATAAGCTTCAGTTTCCGCAATCACTTCTTCATTTGAGCCAAATTTCTTTACCTGGAGCATTTTTTTCATATCTGCAAAGAGCTAGTAGTCGCTGGGTTCCAAATCTGGGGAGTACGGTGTATCAGAACAATTCAATTTTAATGACGGTGAAAACGCACAAATTTATTTCGATTATCGTATAACAAACGTATTATAATTAAGTCCAGTAGTGAGTGATAGACAAAGCAATTTGACGATTTACGATATTAAATCAAGTATCCGTATTACAATCAAGTAACGAAATAGTTGGTCAAGCTATCAAAGTCATTGCACAATGTCTTACAAGCAAGTAACGAAATAGTTGATCAAGCTATGAAAGTCTTTACACAATGTCAAAAGGTAAAGTCCGTAACGAAGTAATGACAAATACGAAGTAAATCCCGTAGTGACAAAATATAAAGTGAAGTGCGGGCCCCGGTGCTCTCGCTTATTTTATGTTTCACTTCCCTACGACGTCTCCTAGCAACCACCCGATTTCTTCGAAATCTTCCACGTGCCCTCCGTCGACCTTGGCTTCGCGGTCATCCCTCTAAGTGCTGAAAGGTCCAAATTCTGAAATCCCCAAATCTACAAATCCCCAAAATTCTCAAAGACCCAAATTCTCAAATCCCCAAAGTGCTCAAAGGTTCAAATTCTCAAATCCCCAAATCCCCAAATCCACGAATCCTAAAATTATCAAAGACTCAAATTCTCAAATTCTCAAATCCACAAATCCCAAAATTCTCAAAGACCCAAATTCTCAAATCCCCAAATCCACAAATCAAACGGAGCGGTCCGCACCTTTGTACGCGTTTCTGGAAAATTACGCATCAGGAGACGTCGCCGAGGAGTGTCTTTCTTTTCTACCGAAGTGCGCACCAGGGTTCGCCAGCATTTCGCGGTGGATCAAATACTTATTAATTGGCGTTTTACTTGGAATTTCAGAGCATGTGCCACGTGCCACTTTTGCCACGTGCCATTTGCCACGTGCACCACGTACGTGTACATTTCTTAGGAAAATTAATTATTTGTCGTCTTCGAGTGCGACCGATCCCGCAGACAGCTAGCCGGAGCGCGGGGCAAGCAAGCTCGCTCCCGCCCGGGTTCTCACCTCTCCCGAGCGGAGTGGCCCTCGGTGTTTTG